CTTTCGGTCTCGGGGCAGCGAGGCGGACGGCGGCGGCGGCGGATGGTTAGCGGCCCGGCCCCGACCCCGACCCCCAGGTATGGCGCGCCAGTGCCCAGTCCGCCCTGCGGGCAAGGAGCTGCAGGCCCAAAGGAGGGCGCCGCCACTCGGGCCCTTCCCTACGCCCTCCAGGGAGGGCCGAGGGTCTGGGCCGAGTAGAGAAGGAGGGCGAAGGGGCTGCGAGGGTGGTGGTAGTGGTGGGAGGCGGAGTAGGGGAGTCGCTGGGCTGGGCGCTAGTGCGCGGTGAGCGCGGCGCGGGGCACCCGTTCTGCTCGTATGCTTCCTGGACCCCGGGGAGAAGGCCCGGGACTCATGGCCAGCGCGCCTGTTTTGCAGGCAGGAGCCTCTCTCCGCGCCCCGCCTAGCCACTGAACCCTGCCAGGCTCGGGTCCACTCGACTTATGCGCAGGGCCAAGCGATGCGCAGGTGGACGGCGGGGTTCGGCCGAGGGAACGCCTTGCCTGCCTTTAGGGGCCAGGGAGGAGGCCGTGGCTGGATTAATGCGGGAGGGGTGGCGAGTTGGACTAGCAGGCCGCTGGTGTCCTCAAGGTCACTTCACTCCCTGCTCCTGCGCTGCTTACCCTTGGTTCTTGCTCCCCTCTTCACCCTGGCTGGAGCTGAGGTTTACTCAGATAAAGCTCTCAGGTTGGAGCAAATTGAAGTTTCCTATCTGGGGGTCTCACACGCCAGGTTTCAAGGTAACTGGCTTATGACTTCCCGTATATTGGCGGCCATAGCCATGCACTGTCTCACTTCCTAACCCTTTAGGGCATCTACCTGCTGTGTGCTAGCTTTGCAGTTAACCGGCCTGGTGGACCTGCAAGTTAACTTTCTTTCTTCCTTCCTTCTTTCCTCCCTCCCTTCCTTCCTTTTTCCTTTCAGTAGGTAACTTGTGCTGGCAGCGGTGGGTGGTGGGGTGGGGAGTCCGAGAGGAAAGAGAGACAGTGAGAAATCATGCCGCAAGGGGGATGGCCACAATGCAGTCTGTTCTCCTCTTGGGATTTTGGCAGGCAGGTGCCTGGCGTGATTTTCAAGCTAGGAGTTCCAGGACTCTGACCTCAGTCGGCCATGTGGGAGTCCAGCACCTTAACCACCATGCCGCCTAACAGTTAATTTTATGACGGGAAGGGGAAGAACAGACCTTTCTTACATGTTGGATGTGGATTCTTCAGTAGGCTAGGTTACTCCACAACTTAAAAAATTGGCCAGGGGCATGGTGGTTATAGAGCTGAATTCACACGTGGTCAACCAGTGTCGGAGTCACCAACCTGGCAGCTTGAAAATCACGCTAGGAGCGTAGACGTGGATGCCGCACATCTGGGGAGGAGAGTGGAGAAGGGAGTGAGGCTTGGCCATCCGCTCTGGAGATTTTTCACTTTTCCTCTCTCTGCCTCACTGTGGCCAGCGCATGTGCCTATGGTAAAAACCAAAACCCCAAACCAAAATATTTGGCCAGAGTTGTCTATTTCACCAAGAATTAAGCATTGTACAAGTGAGTAGCATATTTTTGTAGGTGGAATCTGAGTAAAAAAATTCTAGTATGTTTTTAAGTTTCTCAAATTTATTTAACAGTTTTATTGTTTACCAGCAGTGACAACTATTTTCAGTGTTTTTAACTTCGTTGTTGAAAATTTTGGGAGAACACCTGTTCTTGATCATCTACATAGTTCACACCCACAGTGTCCCTGTCAAAGGAAGGGTGAAATACCCAGACCGGTGGCCCTTGACCTCCTTGGTGGTGGTAGTGTCAGGATCACCAAAGGCCGCCTAAATAAGACTCCTAAAAAGTCTTGTCCTCTCTCTGGCTGTGAAGTCAAGTCAGGTAATGGAGCCTCCTGCACTTTCACTACCAACACGGACTAAACTAAAGATGCTTTAGTTTGATCAGAAGTCAAAGGAAAACTCTTTAAAACTTTAAAGGAGTTGAATATTATATCCCAGAATTTATTAGGATAAATGGAACCAGAACAGAAGATAAAGTACATGTGACTGTTAGGTTCATGTACCTACCATTTGAACAGAATCCTAACCTGTTTCCTGGCTTTAAGAAAAGTTCCTTAGCATTTCTATGATTTGAGTTAAAACTGGTTTTCTTAATAGTACCATATGAACTTACCATTGAAAGTAGTTAGATTATTTAAGAAATTGTGTGACCAATAAAATGTGCGTGGGAAAGGAATAGAAGACAGTTGTAGACACCAGAGACAGTGGGAGAAGAGGGTGGGAAAGGACAGAAGGTCAGAAAGAGGGGTAAAAAATTCTAGGAACTATAAATGGAAAATTTTGGATAATAATATGCATGATTAAGTCACTATGCAGTATATTCTGGATGGGAAATCACATTTTGTATGCTGTAATGATGCTAAGGGAAAGAATGTAAATCAAGTTACAAAAAAAAAGAGAAAAGTTTCAGAAAAAAGAAAAATCCATTCTATGACTGCAGTAAGATATATAGCCCCAGCAAGGTGCTACTTTATAGGATGCCTAAAGTTAGACTTGGAAATGTATATATCAGCTGTGTTTGCTATTAAAATATTTAGATTAATTAAGATATTTAGTAATTCAATAAAAATGGGGGGAAAACATTATAGAAAGCAAACATAGATACCAGAGACAGTGTGGGAAGAGAGTAGGAGATGGCGGAGGGTAAGAGATAGGGAATCAAGGGTGGGTGGGGGGGAAGCAAAACATACAGAAAACAAGAAATGGAAAATTATTTGTTGACAATAACATGTTTGTTGATGTGCTTGATTGAGACAATATACAGTGTACTCTAGATGGAAAATCTCATTTTGTATGCTGTAATGATGTACAGTGAATGAACGTAAACAAATAAATTTAAATAAGACATTTTAAAAAAACTTTAAAGGAATATAGTCAAGTACAGAAAAGTCATTAAAAATCCTTATTTCTGGGACCAGCAGATGGTGTAATGGTTATGTTGCTGGACTTCCACGTAGTTGACCATGGTTTGAGTCCTGGACCGAGCAGCTTGAAATTTACGCCAGGTGTTGTGTGTGTGTGTGTGTGTGTGTGTGTGGCCAAAATCCTGGATATTGGAGGAGAAGGGACTGTGGTGTGGCCATCCCACTGGGGGATGATTTCTCATTTTCTGTCTCTCTGTCTCTCTGGTGAGCATACTTTATAGTAAAAATTCTCTTAAAACAAAACAAAACAAAACAAAACAAAACAACACAACCTAATTTCCAGCTCTGTACCTGTGTGTTCAGAAGGCTATTCGATATTTTCACTTGGATAACGCAAAGGCATCACAAACTAAAGGTATTTTAAAATGAACTCCAAATTTCCCTCCTTTTAAAAATCTGTTCTCTTTCTAGTCTTCTCCATAGCCATAAAGAGTATTTTTGACTTCCCAGAAGTTTATTCTAGAAACCTGGCAGCCATAGCCAGTGTTCCCTCACACCCTAACCCTTTGGGGGCATGTTATCTGCTGTGTGCTGGGTTTTAAGGTAACTGGTTTTCGTAATCAATGTTCTCCACTTTCTCTGGGCCTGCAAATATGCTTGTTGTTCCCTTGTCTGGGACACTCTCCCTCTCCCTCAGTTTCTTAGTTACCTTTCACTTGTTCTTTGTTTCAGTTGAAATATCCTTAGGGAGCCCCCAGTGTCAACTGGTCGGCTGGTATTCTCCTTTTGTGTGTGTGTGTGTGTGTGTGTGTGTGTGTGTGTGTGTGTGTGTATGTGTTCCTTCATAGCCCTAATCATGCTAGCTGTTCTACAAGGGGCTGTGATGCCTTCAAAAATTCATGAAAAATGTGTATTATTAAAAAACTATGCATGGATTTCACAATTTTCTTGCACCAAAATAAACTCATAATTAAATTCCTTTTTTAAATTTTTTTTTACAATTTTTTGGAAGTTACCTGGATATTTATTCGTGTAAACATGTTGAAAGTTCCCATCCCCCACTGTAGCTCTTTTTATTTTGTTAAGGTTTTTTTGTTATTGTTTGCTTGTTTTGCCACAGGGCATGTATGCTCACCAGAGAGTGAGAGACAGAGACAGGGAGACAGAGGGAAAGTGAGAAATAACCTCCCAGAGGGTATGGATATGCCACAATCCTTTGGGCATGTACACACATGGTCCCAGCATGATTTTTAAGCCAAGTCTGGGACTGGAGTTGTAGTTGTCATGTGGGAGTTCAGCGACTTAATCATGTCACCCAACACACACTGTAGCTCTTATTTCATTTTATTTTATTTTATTTTTGAGAAAGATTTTTTGCTCTAGGGCAAGTGTGCTTGCCATAGAGACAGAGAGACAGAAAGTGAGAAATGATCTTTAGCGGGGGAATGGCACTACCATAATCCCTTCTCCATTCTCCTCCTGGAAGTTTGGGCACACACGCATATGTGTCCGATGTGAGTTTCAGACTGCTGGACTTTATCCATGATCAACCATATGGGAGTCCAGTGACATAGCTACTAAACCACCAAGTACTGGCCCCCACCCTTAGCTCTTTGAGGTCAGAGACCTGTGCTGTCTTGTACCACTAGAATTCACTCAGATCTCTGGTACAGAAAAGGCTCTCTATAAATGTTTGTGGAATGAATGGCTGGCTCCGTAGTTAGGAACTCAGAGAGGGAAGCCTTTGTTGTTGTTTTTTTGTTGGTTTGTTTGACTTTCTTTTTTTTTCAATAAGCCAGATGGTGTATGTACTTACCAGAGAGAGAAGAAAGGGAGGGATGTGCTTATGCCACGATTATTTCTCTTTTTTTTTCTCTATCCTGTCAGAATTTTGGGAATGCACACACGAGTACTCAGCCTATTTTTATAGCTGCCAAGCTGGAATTTGAACTTCAATGTTTACACCACGTGAGATCTGGTTCCTGAACCATGAAGCCCAAAGACTGGCCCGAGAAAAGCCTTAGAAAAATCTATGTTTTAAACAATTAAGTTCATTAAGATATTAGAGAGTCTAAGACAGAATTCTGCCCAGGATTCAATAGAACACACAATTAAGTGGATTTTAATGGTTGTTGCTAACTTATCTTCCTACCAGTTAAGACTACAGGTAGGTGATTTTCCTTTTAGTACTGTGGAGGTCTGCATCGTTTGTTCATTGGTGAATAATGGGTGAATAATTTGGACATTTATGCTGTCCATGCCACTTGTTCCATTTTGCTTTCTTGGCACCGCAGCCTTCTTGAGACACAGCCGTGCTCCCTTTGGTCCCCTTTGGACCCAATCCAGCAAATCTTTGATGGGCAGTCCTACCACCAAGCCCTCCTGCAGCTCATGGGCCTTTATGTAATTCAGAACAACCAGAATGTTCACATCTCTTGTGCTGTTGGACAACACTCAGAGACTCTCAGAGACCTCATGTACTTGAACCTGCCACCCTCATGGCATTCTCTACCATCTTGGGGTGAGGACTTAACACACCAGGCGGCTACTACAGGCAGAAATTCAAGATGGAAACAGGACACACATTCCCCTCATCCTGTAGTCCCCCAGACCCCCAGGAATCCATCAATTCTGCCCTGCCCTGGGATTCTGCCTGAGGAGATGGGGGAAGGGATTGTACCATATTGGTGTTCAAGCTTTATTCTTCAAATTGCTCTGCTCCTCCCTGGCTAAAAACTTTCTTCAGTTGCTTTCTGGACAAAAAGGCAACAACAGAAAACCTGTTCTCCCTGTTCACACACCTTTCTGGCCTTTCTGCCTCATCTGGGTGGTTCCCTTTGAACTGGGAATGTGAAATCTCTGCTGTCTGTGTAGGTATCCTTTCTGCTGAGCCTCCAGATTCACTTCACAGGAGAAGGGAAGGTAGGCATCTTTCACTCTGTGTTTGGGAAGGGAGCAGGAGAGAGAGAGGGAGGAGGAGAGCACATCAGCTCTTGCCTTGAATTAGCGTCCCACCACATATGGTTCAGGGGATAAAGCCAGAGCTTGGCAAGCATTTTGCTAGAGGTTTTCAATCCTGGCTCCTCAGTAGAAACTCTGGGAAGTTAAAAAATGGTACCCTGACCTCATCACTATAAATTAATTCTTATCACGGACTTTAAAAGCTTCCTAAGTGATGTTAACATGCAGCTAGAGTGAAAAACCACAAAAATCTTAGAGATCTTAGAGAGGGAGAATCCCGTCTACCACAATCATTTTTAGGAATTTTAATGGTAGGCTCTTACTTGTCTCATCTGGTCCAAATGTCCAGGAGCCAGAAGAATTTGAAGGAATTAGAGCCAATTACCTGAGCTTACCTGCTAGGTGCCCCTTTGACAAACAGCTATTAGGCATGTTTGTTTAAAAGAAAGAACCATGCTTACATGAATTGCCAATCTGCTAAAGATCTATACTGCTTTTATGTCCCATGCCTTTAAAATGTCCTCTGCAGCACAACTCCCATCATGGGTTATGCATTATGTTGGGATTACTGTCTTCCTTACCTTGCGAATCTCCTTTGTCCATCAAGTCCTCCAGTGGGTCCCTTCTGTCCACTTCAGTTGCCTAAGCAGCCTATGCTTTTCCCCATCACACTGTAGCTCCTGCTCTAGTTGGCTATAGCTGTGATACCTTTAATCCTTTCCATCATTCCCAAATCTGACGTATCCTTCCAGGCCACAGTAGAATGCTGGTCTCTTATGAAAGCTTCCCCGAGTTGTTGTAGCTAGAGCTACTCTTTCTGTGAATATTCCATTCTTCTAAAAATTTTCTTTTATCATTGTTCTTAAAATACTCCACATTTACATAGTGTGTTTTATTATTTCTGCATAAATGTTTTCTTTTTTTTTTTTTTGGAAGAGTTTTGTTTTGTTTTGTTTTGTTTTTTGTTATAGGGCACGTGCGCTCACCAGAAAGGCAGAGAGAGAAAGAGAGACAGAAAGCAAGAAATCACCCCCTGGGCGGATGGCCACGCCGTAATCCCTTCTCATCCATTCTCCTCTCGGTATCTCTGGCATGCATGCACACGCGCTTGGCGTGAGTTTAAGACACTGGGTCCGGGACTCGAACCACAGTCGATTACATGGTAGTCTAGCGACATAGCCATCATGCCAACTACTATCCTTCTGTATTTTGAAGTCATTGAGGGTGAGATCGGTGTCTTGTGTATTATATCCTACACAGAACTCTGCACACAGTACCTTCTGTACAGCGGACATTAAACACACATTAGCAGGATGGCTTTAAGGGAGTCCAGGTGAGATGTCTGTTACAGTCTCCAAGGAAAATTTCCATAAACTTAATTATTCCCGGCTAAGTACAAGGAGACTAGAACAATGGAATTAAAGTACAGGTTTATTTTAATGCAAAACAAATTTTAAAATCCAATATTTTTTTTCATTATACACATTTTTTGGTGAACTTTTTGAAAATTCCGGCCTCATTAATATTAACTTTTGGCATAACAACTTGACAAAGACATCCATTTTATTAAAGATTGTTGTATGGATGTTGGCCTTTTGCCTCCTCACCACTCTCCATCTAAGTCTTCTTTTCTTCAGAAGCTTTTTATGTTTTAGGAGTTCTTTACCTAGTGAGGCTTAGCAGGAGGCAAGACCTGTCTCTCACTGCGGACTCTGAGAAGTCCAGAGTTTTGCTTTCTTTGCCTCCCTGCTTGATAGTGTGGATACCTCACCTCAGATCAAACAATAGAACTTCAAAGCTGGGGCTTTGAGGCTGACAGAGGCAGTGCAAAGTTGTAGGGCAGTGGAGAAGTCATTCTAGCAGTGTCAGCCTTTGAGTTCCAGGGTAGCAGAGCAGCTTCCTGGACCCCAGCGTCAGTGGGGGGTTGTGGCTTGATCAGATGTTTCTCTGATGTGATTCTGGCTGTCCATCTTTGCCTATTTTGTGAGGCTGGTTTTCCCAGATGTTCTGCAACTCTGTGACCCATTTAGTGAGCTACTCAAGATCCTCTAATAATTCCTTTGCTGCCATCATCAGTCAGAGCTTGTTCTATTGTCTGTAACCAAGAAGCCTGATTGATGAAGATAAATTTTGAAAGTCACATGATGTTTTCTGTTATAATAGGTGTTAATGATACTTGCTAATCATAAACTTCTATGACTCAATAACATAGGGAAGTCAAAATAAAACCTAGTACTTTAGGAAGTTCATACCCGTATCTGTTAATACTTGGTAGATAAATGTTGAAATTAGGCTGTCTTGATAACATTTGAATGACTCACATTTATTTACTTTTTTTACATTCATGCCACTAGGTAGTTTAAGCAAGAAGATGGTATCTCGTCCCTTTGCAGCCATGTCATTTCTGTCTTTACTGTTGACTCTTTTAACTATGTCAACTCCTTCGTGGTGTCAGAGCCCTGAAGCTACAGCTCCTAAAGCTAGTAATGGGATGCCCTTTCCTTGGAATAAAGTGCGACTTCCTGAGCATGTCGTCCCAGTTCATTATGATCTCATGATCCATGCAAATCTCACCACGCTGGCTTTCTGGGGAACCACAGAAGTCGAAGTCACCGTCAGCCAGCCCACCAGTACCATCATTCTGCACAGTCACCACCTGCAGATCGCCAAGGCCACCCTCCGGAAAGGAGCTGGAGAGAGGCCCTCCGAAGAACCGCTGCGGGTCCTGGAATACCCCCCTCATGAACAAATCGCGCTTCTGGCCCCAGAGCCTCTCCTCGTTGGGCTCCCGTACACAGTTGTCATTGACTATGCTGGTAATCTCTCTGAGAACTTCCGTGGATTTTATAAAAGTACCTACAGAACCAAGGATGGGGAAGTGAGGTAATATTTTTCTCTTTTTTCCTTTTTGAGCTTTAAATGCTGCCCACACCACATGTATTATTTCAGAAGGATTGTCCTTCATTGTTGAACTGTTTTCTCAGCCTTGCTTTTGCATGAGTTAAAAATAACCCATTAGTTTTGTCTTTTTTTTCTTAATCTTATTTTTTATTTTATTTTAACCAATTTTCTTCCCCCCAAGGTCTGCCAGAGTAAATACCTATTTGTTAATTTAATTGGATTCCTCACATATAATAAACATTTTGGATCCTCTTGGCCTGTGTGCTCATTTCTTAGGACTGTTGTAACAAAGTACCACAGAGTGGGTGGCTTAAGCAACAGGAATTTATTCTCCTGTGGTTTGGGGTTACAAGTTGGAATCAGGGTGTCAGCAGGCCTCTCTAAGACTCTGGGTAGAATCTTTCCTTGCCTCGTCCTAGCATCTGGTGGTGGCCGTTTGCCCTTGGCATTCCTTGTCTTGGAGCCACGTCACTCCAGTCTCTGCCTCTGCTGTCACGTGGTCATTTTCCTTGTGATCCTGTGTCCAGATTTTGTCTCATAAGGACGCCAATGCATTGGACTAGGGTCTAGATTGATGGCATCACTTAACTTGGTTACATCTGTGGAGACCCTATTTTCAAATAAGATTGCATTCACAGATAACAGGGGGTTAGGATTTCAACGTACCTTTTGTAGGCAGGGGGTCCACTTCATCCAAAAGAGTCTATTAGAGGAGTTATTTCTCTCTCAGTGAAAATTTTTTTAGGAATCTTCACCTGCCCTGCCTTGGTTCTGTTTTTAAGGAAGGGACTTATTTGGGGGAGGTTTTATATTAAATTTTAAAATCACATTTTGTTAATAGATTATACTAATTTATTTTTCTAATTCTATATTATTTTATCAAGGTGTAAAGTCAGATGTTATAAATAGTTTTTTTTATTATATTTTTTATTTTTTGCTACAGAGCACATATGCTTGCCAGAGAGACAGAGAGGGAAAGTGAGAAGTCACTCCATGGGAGGATGGCTGCGCTGCAATATCTTCCCCTCCATTTTGCTTTTGGGATTTTGGGCAGACACTCACATGTGCCTGGCTTGAGTTTTTAAGTCACTGGGTCCAGGACTTGAACTGCACAGTCGGCTATGTGGGATCCAGTACCATAACCTCCACACCACCTGTTGGCCCATCAAAAAGATTTTTTTAAATAAAATTTATCACTGTTTATCATTTTAATGACTATTAAAATATGTTTATGCATTAATTTATTTAACTTTTTCCCCATGGATGGAAATTAAATTGTTTCGACTTTTACTTCTTTAGCATAAATGCCTGGAAGTGAAATTGGTAAATCAAGAATTTACAAACTTTTGATGTTCTTTACTATATTTCTTCATGCCATCCAGTACTGTCCAAAAAAACGATATCTTTCTTTAATTTATGTTACTTTATTTGGGCGATTTTGATAAGCTTATTAATGATTTATAGATTCTTCTTTTATGAATTGCCTATTTGTGACCTTTGCATGAGATTTCACATGGTTGTTGGATACATTCTTACTAATCTTTAAAGAGTTCATTGGCAGTTAAGGCTATCAACTCTTTTTTTTTTTAGAAGTTTTTTTGCTATAGGGTGCGTGCATTCGCCAGACAGAGACAGAGAGACAGAAAGTGAGAAATCACCCCCCAAGGGGGATGGCCATGCCACAATCCCTTCTCCTCCATTTTCCTCTTGGGATCTCGGGCACGCACGCACACGCACCTGGCGTGAGTTTTAAGCCACCGGGTCTGGGACGCGAACCGCAGTCGGCTACGTGGGAGTCCAGCGACATAGCCATTATGCTAACTGCTGGTCCCAAGGCTATTAACTCTTCCTCAAAGGCTTTTTTGTATGAATTTTCTCAGGTTTTAATTGTCTTTAAAGTTGTTTTATAGTAGCTTTTATCATATAGGATTTTTTTTCAGTAGTAAAATCCATAAGTCTTACATTAGCATTAGAAAGTAAAAAGCAAATGCAAACCTATTTTAGAGTTTCTGGTGCTTTGTGCTCAGTTTTTTATCTCACTCGCCCCAATTGTAGGATACTTGCATCAACACAGTTTGAACCTACTGCCGCTAGAATGGCCTTTCCCTGCTTCGATGAACCTGCCCTCAAAGCGACGTTCTCAATCAAGATCAGAAGGGAGCCCAGGCACCTCGCCATCTCCAACATGCCACTGGTGAGTCTGAACTCCTACGTACCTGCTCCCAGGGAGATCTGCTGATTCTCTGTGACCTGCACTAGGATGAAGGAAATTAATCTTTGCTTCATCTGGTTTGTTTTATTTTTATTTTATTTAATTTTTAATTTTAATTCACTAGGGATGCATGCACTCACAGGAGGGAAGTAGAAAGCACCAAGGGAATGGTCATGGCACAATCCCTCCTCCTCTGTTTCTCCTTTCAGGATTTTGGGTGTGCATGCACACATATTTGGTGCATTTTATCAAGTAACTAACTCAACCATGCAGTCGGCTATGTGTGATTCACATATGTGGTTGACCCATTTTGTTTGTTTTAATACATACCAGTGGCTCACATTTAATTTTCATTTCCAACATATGCTTTTGTCTTAGGTCATAATTTATTTGTAATCAAAGAAAAAATTGTCCCTAAACAATGTAAGCTTTAGTAAGGATGACATTCCAGGTCATCAATGCTGGTTGGAGAGAAACTGTGTGAGGAATTCAGGCTAGGTTTAAATGCGATATGGTATCTGTGATCATAGTGCTCTTCACAAAGCATTTTCACCCACCTTTCCTCATATCATTGTTTTTTCTTGGTATGTTTTTGCCACAGGGCGTATGTGCTTAGCAGAGAGAGACAGTGAGAGGGAAAATGAGAAATATCTTCCTGGGGGGGGGTGACCGTACTGCAATGCCTTCCTCTCCATTCACCTCCTGGGATTTCAGGCATTCATGCACATATGCACAGCATGGGTTACAAGCTGCTGGGTCTGGAACTCGAACTGCAGTCAGCCATAAGGGAGCCCAGTGCCTTAACCATCACACAACATGTTGGCCCGAGTGTATACTTTCTAATGGTGAATTTTATGGTATATGAATTATATCTCAATAAATGAGAAGAAAGACCTTGCTACTGATAATTTAGCCTCCAGCCTTCAAACTTGAGTGGAGAGGCAAGGGGCAAGCCTTCAGAAGAAGACTCCACCATTGCTCCTGAGAACTAGCGATTTCAGGGAAAAAAGAGAAATGAAGATTTTCTACTGATAATTCAGCTTCCAGCCCTCAACCTCGTGGTAGGGAGCCCCATCTAGCCTTCTCTCTGTCTCTGTCTCTCTGCTTCTCTCTCTGTCTTCTCATCTTTTTGGTAATTTTTCCTTTTTAAAATTTTTTAAGGTAAAGTATTTTCTTGGGTTTCAGTTCCTCTTTTATCTCCCTTTGTCTTGCTAATAATCCACTTTCCCTCTCCCCTCCAGGAGAGGCAAGGGGCAGATATTCAGAAGAAGGCTCCACCATTGCTCCTGAGAACTAGTGATTTTGTGTGGTGTGTGTGTGTGCACTGCACAGTTTTTTAGTTTTTGCTTTAAAAAAAAAAAAAACTAAAATGTTTTGGTTGTTTCTTTCTTTTTTTTGTCTTCTTCTCTCTCTCTCTTTCTTTTCTCTCTCTGTTTCCTTCTCTTTTTTCTTTTATCTCATTACTCTGCTCCTCAATTTCCATTCACTGTGTTTTTAGACCGATCTAAGGGAACCATAGCCAAGTATCCAAATACTATTCAGATTAACATATTCCTCAATACCCACTGAATCTGCTGCATAAAGGGATAAAAATAGTACGCAAAGAGATTCCAGATCACCTACTTCTGCATGCTCCCGAACACTCAGATTGAACTTCAAGAATTTGGAAGAAACACACCATACATCAGATGACTAGAAATCACCACAGGGTCACAAGAAATATGAGAAAGCAAGAAAATACCTCTCCTCCAAGGGAAAAGAATAGCTCTTCCACAGATAGTTCAACTGAAATCATGGAAATGTCTGATAAAGAATTTAGAATATTCACAATGACAAAGCTAACAGAGATGGAAGAGAAGAGAGACAATGAACTGCAGAAGAGGCAGAAGAAAGGAGCTGACGAGTTCCAGGAGGTGAGGAAATCCTTGCAAGAGCTAAAAAATCTCCTCCAAGGGAAAAGAATAGCTCTTCCACAGATAGTTCAACTGAAATCATGGAAATGTCTGATAAAGAATTTAGAATATTCACAATGACAAAGCTAACAGAGATGGAAGAGAAGAGAGACAATGAACTGCAGAAGAGGCAGAAGAAAGGAGCTGACGAGTTCCAGGAGGTGAGGAAATCCTTGCAAGAGCTAAAAAATGAATTATACACTATAAAAAAGAATCAAATGGACCTGTTAGAGATGAAGGCTTAATACAGCAAGTCAAAATCTCCCTTGAAAGTTATATTTTTTCTTTTTTTGGAGAAGTTTTTGCTATAGGGCACGTGCGCTCGCCAGACAGAGAGAGAGAGACAGAGAGATAGAAAGCAAGAAATCACCCCCCAGGCCACGCCGCAATCCCTTCTCCTCCATTCTCCTCTCGGGATCTTGGGCACACATGCACACGTGCCCGGCATGAGTTTAAGCCACCGGGTCCGGGACTTGAACCGTAGTTGACTACGTGGGAGTCCAGCAACATAGCCATTATGCTAACTGCTGGTCCCACCCTTGAAAGTTATTAAAAGCAGACTAGATTATGCAGAAAATCAAATCTCAGGTGTAGAAGATAAAGTCACTGGTCTAGAAAAACCCACCAGAAAGACTGAGAAAACTGCTCCCCAAAAATGAGAATAATATATGAGAAATACTAGATACCATCAAACATCCAAACATCTATATAATTGATATCCCAGAAAGCGAAGAGACTCATAAGGGCCTTGATAATCTATTCCATGAAATCCTGCAAGAAAACTTTCCAAACCTAGAGAGGCATTCGAAGATCCAGTCCCAAGAAATACAAAGGACCCCAAATAGAATCAACCCAAGAAGATCTTCTCCAAGACA